CCGCTTCTCCGGCCATGCTGAGGCGGCGTCCCACATACAGCAACTAGAAGGATGTGCAGCTATGACATACAACTATCTACTGGGGCTTTGGGGGGGAAAATAAATAAACAAATAAAATTAAAAGCAGGATACGAATTTACACAGTTTGGTTATATAGATGATTGTCTCTGGGTGATAGGTGTAAGAACAATGATAATATTCTTAATTTTGTTGTCAATTTTCAAATTTTCTAAAATTGATTTGCATCACTTCTATCTGCAAGCAAAAACCAACAGTGGTGTAATTAAATAAATGCCCAGAGAATTTAAGCCTGGAAAGGGTCCATAGACCCTCCAACCCCTCCATAAAATAATGTCCGCAGTGGCTTGTGCCTCCAACACCGCCCCCCACCAAAAGCTGTTCTTCCAAACTCTCCCCTCCCCTAATCCAACCACCTCTTGATGCCCAGTCCTTTAATTTACGGGACCTGATGCCTTTTCCGTCGTCATCCTATAGCTTCCCCGTCCCCTATAGTAACTAACTGTAAGTGGTAGAGGGCCACCAAGACTGGGGCGCCCCGGGCTGGCCTTCTCTGCGGGGGGCGGGCTGCAGGCTGGGGGGCACCGTCCGGGTCCGGCAGCGCCCGGGGGCCAGTGTTGGGGCAGGGGACACACGTTAGTGTTCGCGGAGGGAGCCCCGTCGGCCCCGCCCGGGAGCCCCCGTGCCCTCCCTCCTGCATCCCGGCCCGATTTCCCGCCAGCGGGTGACCGGGTCCGAGGACGGCCGCAGACCCCGCGCCTCCCCCGCGCGCCCCGAGCCCGCCAGCCCCGGGGGAGCTGGGTGTCCCGCGCTCTGGGCAGAGGCGACCGAGGGCGGCGCGCCAGGTCCCTCTCGCCCGGCCGAGGCCTCAAACTCGGGCGTCTCTGGTCCTCGGGCTCCGCCCCGCGGCCGCCGGGCCGGCTGCACCCGAGCCACCGGGCTGGGTGGCGCGGCTCTGGCCGCGATGCTCCTGTGAAGCTGGCTGTCCACACGAGCCTGGCCACCTCCCATCCCGGGCCACCCCGTGCCGGTGCCAGAGCGCGCGCTGAAGGTGATGCCTGGAGCCAGTGCCCATTTCTGCCCCCTCAGCCTTCGTCTTTGCCAGCCTGGGACTTCCTGCCTTTCCAGAACTTTCTGGCTCCTTTTAGCCAGGTTTCTCTCTGGGTCTGATGTGGGTGGGCAGAAACTCCCCACAGCCCGAGACGACTCAGCTGAAGAGGTGGATCAGTCAGCTAACAGACATGCTGTGTTCTCACTCAGGGACTGTGAAGGGGACCACAGAGATGTGGGGCCCCATCTTTCAAGAGGATCCTTGGGTTCTACTGTCTGCTCTGTTCCTGCCCCGGGTAAACTGTTAGGTTATTTTAGGAACCATTTTTGATTCCCATCTACAGTTGGCAGGAACTCTGTCCCTCCCAGCCTTCCAAGCTCGGATTCCATCTCCTGCAGAAGCCCGTCTGCCACCCTGGGTAGCACAGTTATCCCTATCTTACAGCTGAGGAAACTGAGACCCAGGGAGGTGACAACGGTAGCTGACAGTGCCAGGTGTAGCACCCAGGTCTCCTACAGCGTCCAGGGTTCTTTCTCTGCCCCTGACCCCCTCTGTGTGGGGAAGTGTGAAGGCGGAGGGGGTCAGAGGTGACTGTCCTAGCTGGGCTCCAGAGCTGGCTGCAGGAGAGGTGGCCTTGGGCCCGGGCTGTGGGGAGGAAGGGAGCAGTGGAGAGGGAAGAGACCTCCCTTCCCTCTCCTCCACCTTCTCTACCCTTTGCTAGGGGGACCCAGCAGCAGTGGTGTCCCTTGTACGTCATGAGCTCTCTGCTGAATCAGGCGCTGGGCTTAGTCTCCCCCCGGCCCCAACCCTCACCCTCTCAGTGGGGCAGAGGGAAGCCTCCCATCTCACCGCCTCACTCCCCCACTTATTGTTCTCTCTAGAAAACCAGAGATGAGGACCAGAGCTGGACCCACGTGACCCAGCGCAGACTCTGGTCAGGCTCTGGTAGCTGGGGGAGCAGGAAGGGTGCGAGAGGGTTCTGTGATGGTGTAAGAGTCAGAACCATTTTGAGGACCCGTTGGGTGAGGCTAGTGGAGCGGTCTGACTCCCTGGGCGGGGCGGGGGGGGGGACCAGCATATTCAGGCATAGAAGCACCTGACGCTCCCTTTCCCAAATATCCAGACAGCCCTCAGGGTAGCAGGCTGGGGACAGTGCTAAAGGATGGGGATATCTGGGGCTCTGAGGAGTAAGAGGTGGTGTGTATCGCAGTGCACATAGCTTGAGTTAGGAGGTGCTCCTGTATGAGTCATTTATCATCACTGGGCAGCACCTTCAGCCATTATCACCCATTTGTGGTCTGATTCTGATTGACTTGCTTTCATACAGAAACCCAAGTGGAAGCAAACAAGGCAATGAGGCCGGTAAGGCTCTCCATTATGAAGTGCCCTCTTGTGGATACTTGAGGAATTTCACTGTATCTTTTCCATCCTCCATGACCCTTTCCACCACCACCACACCTAGTCCCCTCACAGGCTCCTTGAGGGGTCCCTTTATTAAGCATGAAAAGGGTTCTGGGATCCCAAGACTGGCTTTCAACACATGAAACCCTAATATAGTCTAAACAAGTATTTGCATAGCACTTATTATGTACTTTACAAATACCTCATTGATTCCTCACAGCTACCCTGTGAGGTAAATACTATTATCATCTTTATTTTGCAGATGAGGAAATTGTGGCACAGAGAACTTAAGTGACTTGCCTGAGGTCACACAGCCAATCTGGATTCCAGACCCTCCACCGTGTCGCCTCTCACTGGTGTGGGAAACCTCATAAACAACACAGAGGCACCGCCAGAGGATGTGCGTGCAAGCAACAGAGAGAACCTCCCCCAGCCCCTTCTCTGACTCCCCCAAAGCTCGCCCCACACCTCCCGGGGATGAATCTGTCCTGCCACGTGAATAGAGGGTCAAGAGATTTCTAAGAAACCCCCTCCCTTTTTTTTTTACCTTATTGGTTCTTTCTATCACTTTTGTGCGGTGGAAAGTGAGAGGGGGGCAGGGCTACTCAAAGCTCTGAGAATCTCAGGGAGAGTCAGAGTTCCCTAAGGCAATTCTCTAAGTTCTCCCATCACTAACAACTAGAAGCCAGTGTAGACACAGGCCAGTCAGGTGGCATCCACACTGCCTTCCCACTCTCCACCTCTCTGCATGGAGGAGTGTCCTGGCGAGGGTCACAAGACTTGCCTCTCTTCTGAAACCTGAAACCTGGGGGAGTGTCGGTCAGAAGAACTCCTTTTCTACCCTTTTACAGATGAGGAAATGAAGCCTGTTCCTAAAACCTCCACTCACTCACCACGTGTTCGTTGACACTCTGCTGTGGGTGTTGGGAGACGGGGATACAGAGGTGGATAAAGAGCAGCTCTCTGCCTTTAGGGAACCCTGTCTAGTAGAGGAAAGACAGATGAGTCAACCATAATTGCAGTTCAGTGTGATGGGCACTCAGTGTACAACAGAGGTGATGTTGCAGAAAAGGAGGCTAGACTCTGCTTGGGTAGGGCAGGAAGGCTTTGAAGGAGGTGCCACTTGGGATTGGTCTTGGAGGGTGGATTGGGATTCATCGAGGGGTGGGAGGGAGAAGAGCATTCCAGGTTGAGGCTCGTGCAGAGATGCAGCAGTCTGAAAGAACAGGACAAATTCAGAGAAATGTGAGCATTTATCTGGCTGACACAGAGGCTGCCTGGGAAGAGGGCAGGAGATTGGCTGGGGAAGTTGGGATCAGATCAGAAAGGTCTCACTTGCCAAACTGAAGAGTTCAGACTTGACACCATAAGTGAAAGCAAGCGATGGTATCAACCTCTCCAAAGAGCATAGGTGAGGCATCTTGCCGTGCTCAGAGGGAGCGAGGGGGAGAGAGGCACTGGAGATGGCTCACTTAGTTTCTTAATGTTATCATTAAACTTTACGGAGTTCTCCGTTAGTCAGAACTCTTTCAGTTACAGAGGTAGAAACCCGCTCAAACTGACTTATAATTTTATTTATTTTTTCCCCCCAAAGCCCCAGTAGACAGTTGTATGTCATAGTTGCACATCCTTCTAGTTGCTGTATGTGGGACGCGGCCTCAGCATGGCTGGAGAAGTGGTGCGTAGGTGCATGCCCGGGATCCGAACCCGGGCCGCCAACAGCGGAGTGCACGCACTTAACCACTAAGCCACGGGGCCGGCCCCCACTCAAACCAACTTAAACAGAAAGAGAATTTGTTGGTTCACGGGCCGGCCCCGTGGCTTGGTGGTTGGGTGAGCGCGCTCCTCTGCTGGCGACCCGAGTTCGGATCCGGGGCTCCCACCGGCACGCTGCTTCTCCGGCCATGCTGAGGCCGCGTCCCGCGTACAGCAACTGGAAGGATGTGCAGCTATGACACACGACTATCTACTGGGGCTTTGGGGGAAAAAATAAATAAATAAAATCTTTAAAAAAAAAAAAAAAAAAAAAAAGAATTTGTTGGTTCATGCACCTGGGGAGGGACTGTGAGAGCCTAAAGGAGTGAAGGAAGAACAATAGGAGCCAACAGAACTGGAACTCGGGACTCAAGGCCACCAGAACTCCCTCTCTGCCCATGTTTTATCTCCACTTGTCTCTGTTCTGCAGAGAGACTTCCTTCACGTGGAGGGGAGATAGCCACCCACAGCTCTGTGCCTCATCTCAGCAAGCAATCCCAACATATCCTCTCAACTAGCAATCCAAACATACCATCTGAACTAGCAATCCCAACATGTCCTCTCAACTAGCAATCCCAGCGTGGAGAGGCCCTCCCTCCCATGTCTATATGTTAATCCCAAGGAAGAGTCTGATTGGTCCTGCTTGGTCAGTGATACCCGTTGGTCTAATCACTGTGATTAATGACATGGGAGACTGTGATTAATCCAGCCTGGGTCACATGTCCATATCTGTAGAGGAGGCAGAAGCAGAGAGAGCACCCCAATTCCCAGCTCCTCAGGACCACGTGGAGTGAAGGAGGAAGTCCCCCAAAGAAACGGGGGTGCAGTTATCAGGAGGTGTATGGGAAATTAGCTGGACAGCAGAAAATGGAAGCTGCCCCTTTTGTGTGTGTGTGTGTGTGTGTGTGTGTGTGTGTGTTAAAAAACGATATTGTTTTATTAACAGCAGCAGGAGTGGCTGGCATGGGGTGGCGGGTGTGCTGGGCTCAGGGTATGTGTGGGCTGTGAGGAGTAGATGATGGTTGGGAGGCTGGAAGGAAAAGAGGTGGGCGGGTATGGAGGCCAGGCCCAAGGGCTCCTGAGATTTACTCTGGGAATAAGTAGACTTGATAAAGGATTCATGGCAAGCTGTGGCCAAGCCCCCAATATGATTAAGAAATTCTTGGAGATCTAGCTGCCCATCACAGTTGAGGTCCAGTTTCTTCATCCCGCAGTCAAGGACACCAGGGTCCTTCTGGTTCTCTGTGAAGGCAGCCGGTTCTCTGTTCACGAAGGCTGGGAACTCGGTCTTGGAGAGTTTGCTGCTGTTCCTGTCCTTTCCAGCATATCTCTGGAAAACAGCAATCAGAGACTTGCACCGCTCAGTCTCTGTAGGGCTGGACATTTTTGCCGCGCTGGAGTAGAGCGAGGCACGGAGGCTGTGACTGGGGAAGGGCGCAGCAAGCGCTGAAGCTGCCACTTCTATGTGCCAAATGCTCTACCAGATGCTGGGGATGCAGAGATAAGACCCCATCTCTACCATCAAATAGCTCACAGTCAAGACGAGGGTGCAGAAGATCAGAAAGTGTCGCAATGGTGATGGGATACGGGGACTCTCCAGCTAGCTTGGGAACCCAAGAGAGGGCCACCCAACCCAGACTGAGGCAGAACCAAACCAGGAAACACTTTGCCAAAAACGTTACCCCTCAACAGAGTTATGAAAGATGAATGAGAATTAATCAAGGGAAGAAACGAAGAGGGAAGTTCAGGGAGAGGAAGCAACATATAGAGGTGTAGACCGGTCAGAAATGGTGGGTTTCTGCCTTGGGCAAAGGGGCGAATTGCTGTGCAGTGAGGTGAGAGGAACTGGAGAGCTCAGACTGGCACGTGAGGAGCTCGGGCAGCCTGTGGGTCAGTCAGGTGGTGATACCAGTAGATGACTGGATTGTTTTGGATCTCGAGGTTGAGAAAGAGATGTAAGCTGTGGAGATAAATTTGGAATTCAACCCAGTGGGAGGCGGCTAAAGCCATGGGAGGATGCTGTCACTCAGGGAGAGTGAGAGGAAGGCCGAAGGTACACAGCTGGAGAGCACCCACATTGGTTGAGTGGGTGAACGCAGAGGGCACAGGAAGGAAGGAGTCAGAAAAGGACAATCTCAAGTCACAGCACTGTGAGCAAATGATTTGTATTCTCGGGCCCCAAGGCTTCTGCACATGTAATTCTCTCTCATGTGAAATCTTCCAGGGGAAAGAACAGATTACGTACAAAGGAATGAAAATCAGATTGTCATCAGATGTCTCACCGACAATCCCGACAAGAAGAAGGTGAGCAAGCCTGCAAAGGGCAGAGGGAGTGGCAAGACTGCTAGTGTCCCCAGCGTCTGTCCCCCATTCTTCCTTAGTAATAGAACCTTGGGTCTTTGGCTGGGCACGTAGCCATCCAAAAGCAAGGCTACATTTCCAGCCTCCCTTAAAGCTAAGTGTGGCCATGTGACTGTCCCTTCCTTCTTTGCACCTTCCTCCATCCGTCCTGCTGCCTGGAAGCCAATATGAGGCCACCATCTTGGGCCATGAAGACAAGGACCACATCCTAAGTGTGGCAGAGTAGAAAACTGGAAGGAGCCCAGTCCCCTGCAATCTTCTACATGAGAAAGAAAATAAACTTCAACTTCGAGCCACTGCTGTTTTGGGTCCCTTATTTACACTATACTTAATCCTAACTGATGTTGATGGGAGATTATACCCAGCCAAAATAGCAATCAGGTACGAGAATAAAATAAAGTCCTTTTTGTACAGGCAACAATCTGAAGAGAAGTCAGGAAATAGATGTTTAAATATGTTATTTAAAGTCCTAAAATTAAATAATAGAAAGGGTAAGTAAATACGTGACTGGCAGGGATTAGGGAAAGAAGGGACGCAGTGAAAGCAAGCTAAACTCGTTATCTTTCATTGCAGCGAGTCAGGAGATATTGTTGAAACGATGAATTGGAGATATTAGCATATTTTCTGGCATTATGGAAGTATTGTCAGGAAGGCTAAAAAGAGAAATGGTTGAAAATGATTACTTCTGGGGGATGGGCATCAGATTGATGGAGGAAGACTTTAATTTTTCAATTTGACTGTCTTGCACAGTTTAGATGTATGTTTGTACTTGTAGGTACATACATAGGACAACCTCTGAAGGATGCGTACCTAACTCTTAATAGTGTAACCCTCCAGGGGGGAGGAGTGGATCCAATAGGGGAGGGTCTAGGAACAGACTAAAGTTTCATTTTATAACTTTTTATATTATTTGGTGTTATAAAAATGAGTACTTATTATTTTTGTAAAAAAAATTTTAAGTATATTTTTTAAAAGAAAGTGGACAAGGGAAAATACCAGACAGTGGTCCACAGTCTGGAAAATACCACAGGCAGAAGGCAGGACTTACAAGGACTCACTTCCTTGGCAGTGAAATCAGGTGTGTCTTAGCATGTCTGATTGCCCCTGATTTTGGCCACTGCCTAGATTTATCTCGTCCATGGCCAGACCCAAGAGGAATTTAAAGGGAAGTCCCCTCTTGGGAGGTGTCCTGCTCAAGTGCCCCACTCCCCGCTGGCATAGTTAGAGTTGGAATTATCTCAGAGTTGAGCAATCGGAGGCCCCTGTTTGCCAGGCTTGGGATTTCTCTGGTGACACAACTGCCTTAAATCCTAGTTGGCTGTCTGCCATTTCCATTCCTAGGGACGCCATGTGCAAGTAACCAATGCTGGAAATCTTGCCCAGTCATGAAACCTGATTCTGAACCTGGCTTTTGTGGTTTGTCTCTTAGCAACAGGCTTGGGGGCTCTGACTGTCCATCTAGGCCTTAGGTTAAGATTCTTCCTTGGTATATGGACATCTGGGGTTCTTTGCCCACCATCCTTTCTGGGACCGAGACCTTGAATTTCCTTTGGGAAACCATCTTTCCCCCTCCCATTCTCAGCCAAGAGATTTAATCTGGGATTGTTTTCTATCCCCAAATCTAGGGGTGTGCCAGTCAGTATGTTCCTGTCTCCCTAGCCAAAATGATTGTTCAGGGATGGGCTCCAGATCTATGGCAGCCCAATCAGAGTGAATCATGGGACTCACTGAAAATGTTGGGGCGTGGTCTTGTTCCTTCTGATGATATTGAACAAGGAAGCTTGTAGCCCCAGGAGCTGCCGTCAGTCATGAGGGCTTTGGGACTATGAGGGGAATTATCCAACCCTGAGGAAGAATAGAGAGATGGAAAACAAACAAACAAACAGATTATGATTATAATGGATTGTTTCCTCTGACTCCTCCTAACTTTAGCATAGAAAATTAAATTCAGCTTTTACAATTACATGTAGCACACAATTGTCTCTCAGTGGTCTTAGGTCATTGGTTACAAACAGACTAGATCTTTCTTAACAAAGCTAATTATCCAATCTCTTTTTATGGTCCAGTTTAAAAGAAAGATTTTTGTTATCTTGTAGCACCATACTGAAGATCACAAGTAGTATATCACATTCAATATCTAACATTTTTCTATCAAATCCCCAATAATTACAACGCCATTAGGCACACAGCCTGAGCTCTAAAGTACAACAGGAGATGGTTAATCCAGCTGATCCATTTCCATGAGGATAATTATCTTCCCAAATTGCAAAGAATGGTTTCTCACTGCTTTCCACACCACCTGGCCAGGTTCACCTTTTAAATTCTGTTGCTTACAACATCCCACTCCTGATACCAGTTCTGTACAGTCAAGATTCTTTTAGTTGTAAATAAATCCACCTCACTCAAAGTAATTTAAAGAAGAGGGGGCTTATTGGCTCATGGGATAGGAAAGGCAGGGGTATATTGGAAACAAGGACCAAATATTGCGTGCTCTCTCTCTTTCTCTCTCTCTCTCTCTCAATTGTTTTGGTTTCATACTCTGTTTCAGCTTCATTATCTTCCAAATTAGAATAGCTTTCCCTATGCAATTAGAGAAAATTGGCTACCAGTAGTACCCAGGATTGTATCTGACAACTCCATGACCAGAGAAGAAACAAACCTCTTCCCTGTCAAATCACCCATAAAAATCCTAGGAAGGGTCTTGACTGGTTTGTCTTGGGTCATGTGCCCACCTTTCATCTAGGAGCATGAGGTGCTGTGATTGACTTGTACTGGATTATATACGCACTCCTGTAATTGTTACCAGAAGAAATGTGGGGGAAGCAGATGCTTAGTACAGAAAAAAAAAATAGCCACTGAAGGAATTAATGAAAAGATTAAGTACAGTGGCCAGATACAAGATAAATATATAGAAACCAATGACTCTTACCAATAGAAAGTGCTAGTTAATAATATCACATTTACAGTTTTAAAAACCCTGTAACTGTCAGAATAAATTTAACGAGAAGTGTTCAAGAAAACTATGAATCTTCAATGAAGGACATGACATACAGCATGAAAAAAAAAGTAAAGAGATCTTGGTCTTAGATGGAATGACTTATTATTCTAATACAGTAGATACCTCCCTCTAATTAATTTATAAATTTAATATAATCCCAATCAAAAACCCAATGGGATTTTTTAAAGGGAATTTGAAGTGCTGAGTCTAAAGTTAATCTGGGGGCCGGCCCTGTGGCTTGGTGGTTAAGTGCGCGCGCTGCGATGCTGGTGGCCCGGGTTCGGATCCCGGGTGCGCATCGAGGCGCCGCTTCTCCGTTCATCCTGGGGCCGAGTCCCACGTGCAGCAACTGGAAGGATGTGCAGCTACGGCACGTGGCTGTCCGCTGGGGCTTTGGGGGGAAAAATAAAATGGGTGGAATCTTTAAAAAAATAAAGTTAATCTGGAAGGTAAGTCATGAGTATAACCAATACAATTAAAAAAAAAGAAATTAATAAGGGAGGGGTTGCTACCAAATGTCAAAACATAATATAAAACTGCAATAATTAAAAGTATATTATTGGGGCTGGGCCCATGGCCTTGTGGTTAAGTTTGGTGTGCTCTGCTTTGGCAGCCTGGGTTCAGTTCCCAGGCGCAGACCTACACCACTCATCAGCAGCCATGCTGTGGTGGTGACCCACATACAAAATAGAGGAAGATTGGCTCAGGGAGAATCTTCCTCAGCAAAAAAAAATATGTATATATATATATTATTGGGGATGGTTCAGTTTCCAGATGGAGTAGATAGTTTCCAGATGGTCTAGATGGAGTAGACATAATTTTCTCTATTCATCTTGCTAAATACAACTAACCCTGGATCTCATACATAAAACAACATAAGAAGATTCTGAAAGGTGGAGAAAAGAAGGTGGGCCAGCATAGGGACCTTGTGACCTGAAAAATGACACATTGGTCAGTTCTCTGGGTTTTCTTTTTGCCCCATATATCCCAGACTGGGTTCTGGAGAAGCCAGCAACCTGGAAACACCAACAGACACAAACAAACAAACAAACAAACAAAAACCCTATGGAAGCCTGCTCTCTCTAGC